CGCGGTGCGTGCCTGCAGCGCGAGCACTCGCACAATTCAAGAGCAGCAAAAATAGAACCAGACGTACCCCGATACAGCTTTGCTGTAGTCGGTGAATTAAATCGTCTAAGGCATCCAGCTACATCAGCAGTGTGTGACGGAAGTTATACCAGGACTTTTGCTTTTCTCTTTCTGTTACTGCTTGCGACAGACATACCAGCCGCTTGCATTGGAGCAATCCAGTACAACCCCACTTGCGTCCCTGCAATTACACATTTAGGAAAGTGGAATGTTTGGCAGAAGAATCAATGTTACTGTGCTCTGGTATGACCTGTAACGGGTAGATAATATACAACCACGCAGAGTATCTTCGCAGTTCTTTTTCTGTGATAGGTTCTGTCATCTAACACAAGTTTTTCTTCCTGTTTACAATATAATATTTCCACCTGAATTCTGTTTATTGAGTTGTTCTGAAAGAGGGAAGCACGGTGGTGGTAGGTTGATGGTTGGACTTGATGATCTTAAAGGGCTTTTCCAACCTTAATGATCTGTGATCTCCTGAGAAACAGACTTAATCCTTACAGTCCATCTGAAAGCTTCCTAAAATTGCATTTCTGTTGTAAGTCCAAAGGCAGTTTGCTCCTTTGACCTTTCTTGAAAACAGATTTGTATTTGTAATGTGATTTCTACATCCCAACACGTTCTTTGGCATAATCTTACACAGCTTCACTGATTTCGGTGGGGCTGTTTGAATTACGTGCCAGCAGCACGTAATGTGGCGTTACAGCTGCTTTTAGTGTGGCAGAAAGGCCTGTGGTACAATACCAAAAGAAGCTTCTCAAATTTTTCACAGAAGAACATGCAATATCTTGCATTGGCAATGCTAGGCAAAACTTCCACTGATGTCATTGTGAGTTTTAACTAATACTGCGCCTTTCAAGATAGGTGGGCAGCTTGCAGTGCAAGTGACCTTCATATAAGGTGGCTGTGTTGTCTAAGCACATTTTGTGTAGCAAAGTAATCGGTGATAAGTAAGGCAAATTGTGATTTTAAGCCTTTACTTTCTCTTACAACTAGATATGTAACAGTAACGCGCTATGGGAAAACATTGTGGAGAACTTGTGTGACACAATTACACCTGAAATGAAAGAACTTGCTCAGGAAATGGGCTGGAAACAATTCTTCTTCACAAACAGACTTCAGCTACAGCTGCAGCTCCGAAGGAGGAGGCAGAAACAAGATGCTCAGAACAAAAAACTAACCAAGTAAAGATGCATTTTTCATTGAAGCAATTGGTTTAAGGTATGGATTTGTTGTTTATCAGGTCAGATATATTGACTTCTGTTCTTTACCAGGGAAAGCAGATTATTCTAGAGGGTTGAAAGAGGAAAACCAAAATAGGGCTTACTAGGAGCAACATGTAAAAAATGCAACGTTTAATATGTTGGGCATCCTGAAATTGTATTATAGTCAGCATCGTAACAGTTACTAGCAGTAGAAGAGGCTGTGGCTTCTTTGTACTTCTTCATTCTGACTTCTCTATTTTGTATATATGCTATACATGCTCCATGTCTTCTATCAGATTGCTATGGCACTGTCATTATTACCTTCACAGAAAACCGTCTATCATTTCTTACTATAAAAACTGCTGATGAATGCTGAGGTTTTCACTGTCCACCATGATAAATTTGCAGTGTTTATAGGCAAATAACATGTAGCTGGTTCCAGAGTTTGATGTGTGTTAAGATGTTTTAAAATTAATTATCTAAACTTCAAGCACATAGTAATTTTGTCAACAAGAAGAAACTTCTTTGGTGACTGAGGGTGTGGATCAAATGATCATCCTCATCTTGGACAATCCATTAAAATCATATTTGAGGCACTCTGCCAGAATGGTGTATGGGCAAATTTTTTCCTTGACGTTGCTGATGCAGGAACTTCTGAAACTAACGGGCTTCCGTTGTTTGAGTTCTGATAAGAGACATTTGCTATCCTACAAGACTATAACAATGGTTACTTAAGAGTGTTGTAAGACGAAGGCTGTTCTTACTGACATGACTGACTTGCTCCAACAATCAACTTCAGTAATTAAGAGGCCAGATATTATTACTCTGAAAGTACCAGTTGATTACTAGCCAGTGATACATCATTTGCCATTGACTAGACTTAAGACCTGAGTATTAAAAACAGTGACTGCAGTATTTGGCTATAATAGTGTAATATTTGAAGAGTGTATTAAGTTTACAGTTTTTTAACATGTCAAATATTAAACTTGAATTTTATAAATTGATTAAAAGGTATGAATACAGGGTTCTTATATCATTCTGTTTCTTTACAAAGCAGTATTTTAATTCTTACAAGATACTTGCTAATTTAGATTAAGAATATTTTGTTCCACAACTATATACCAATATTCTTGAAGCACTTGGTGATTGTAGATCTTTAGATAGAAGAAACACTTAAGTATTTTCTTTCCTCTTTGTGACTATTTCCTTTTAGGACATGACAAATACAAATTTCATGATGTGCATAAAATACTGTATTTGTAAAATTTCTGTTCTGTGTAATAAAACACTATAAAATGTAATTTTGCTTCAGAGAGATTATTTTAAGCACTACAGCATGTGAGCAGAGCTAGTAAACAACAGACCCTCTTTTCTCACTTTCTGTCAATTTACCACCAATGAATTTTTTTCTTAGCTTGTGCTCTCATAACAGATTTAGGAGTTTCAGGTTGGGAAACTAGAACCCATGCTAGCCAATACAGACTGAATGATTATTAATTTAAAATCCTAATTTAACTTGATTTTGTCAACCCACCTTCCCTTCTCCTTGATCAACAATGTACCTGTCCCTTCTGTTACGAGAAATAAGAACAATAATTTTGCAGGAGAATCTTCATTTTTAAGTTTAAAAAAATGAACTTCATCAGTAAATGAACAGAAAGTGCTATTTTGGGTTATGTAAGTTTATTCCCATCATATGGCCCAGTAAGGACTTCTACAGAAAGATACACTGCAGGTATCGTAAGTGAAGAACATATAATTCCTTACAGTAATATGCAAATAAAGTAGATTTTGACAAAAGACAAAGTGAAAATCTAAGTATGAAGGGTACATATCTTTCAAAAAAAAAAAAAGGAAACTGAGGAAAATCATCACTTCAATATATATATTTCACTAATAAAAGATAGCTCAGTTAAAATAAGCTAGCAGCAGCATTCACACCAAGACGACATTAAACCTGTAACAAAAGAACTGATGTGAAAGTGTTTACATTAACATTTTCTCCAATGAAAAAGCTGGTTTTAATAAATTACTGACTGTGTGTTCACATCATGTGTTGCTGTTCACTGCCACCTCAGTTGTTCTAATATGAATTTTAAAGGCCATACATAACTATCCTGTATGAATGAACTGACCTAAATCTTTAAGTTTGGGGTTTTCTTAAGGTTTTCTTTTTTAACTTGGCTCATTTCAGTGATCTATTTTAAAGTATGTCCCTGCCAACAGCTGTAGAAGTGTGAAACTAAGAAGCTGGTGAATTCCAATATACAATATGAGTTGCAGTCCAAAGCTTTTTTTTTAACCAACGCTGCAGCTATAAAAAAAGATCTGTATAATGATATTGTTGCATACTGAACTGTTTCGCAGTGTTTGTTCAATATAATTGAATAGTATCAATTGTTTTTAAAGAATTCCAGCAGCATGTATCAGTATTAAACAAAGAATCTGATTTGTCATAAAAAAACTTCCATAAAGCTAGCAGGAAAAAAACCTACAGTGACTTCTATTTGATAGGAAAATTAACATCAGACTCACTTCTCAAAGCTGAAAAAACTATGTCTTGTACCACCATACAAAACATTCTGCATTGATTACCAGGTGCTTAATTTGTTTAAGAAAATTTATTTGAATATTTTAAATGGTCTTTCTTTAGCTCTTCCATGCTCTGCATTATCTAAGTTTCTACTGAATAAACATCTCAAACGTGACCAGTCTTAGACAGTTCATGGTGTACGTTATAAGCAGCAACACTTACTGCTCATAATAATAACAGTTTTTGTTGTTAAATTAATTGTAACAAAATTTAGTATGCTGTAGTCCGGTTCTTTCTAAAACTATATTTGGCCAATTTTGCCCAACTCTTGTTTCTTTAGTACTGTTGAAGTACTGATGAAGTCCCACGGAAGGAGTCAATGGCAATGTTACATAGTTCTACAATACGTCTAGGCAAAGGAAACTTCAAAACTGTTTCTGAAAATATTTTCTAGTTTGTGAATAACAATAATATTTTCCATATGTTGCCAGTTTTTGCTCTTATGTTTGTTTTACTCCAGGTGCATTAAGTGTCACGGCATTTATAATGCAGCCTCTGTATTCAGGATGGCTACTTCATTATGCAGTTCATACTTTAAAAAAATAAAATAAAAAATCCTTGAAGTAGAGTCATTTCAGAAAAATATAAGAACTTTTCTTCAGTTTTGCATCACAGAAATAGTAATTTTTATACACTGAATTAATTGAATTATTGTACTACCATTTCAACAGCATTTGACTAGCCGGGTAAGAAATACAATCATTTTCTCATACTCAGTAACTAATCTTTTATCAGACAGAATACATACTAGGAAGGACTTTTACAAATCATTCATATCCTGATCAAATTCTCTTGTAGGACTAGTGTAAATCAGTAGTAACTGCACTGCAGTCAATGAAGTTTCACCAATGGGTAGTAGTGAAAAGTTGAGAGAGAAGCAAGGGTAAAGGTTCCTAGCATTGTTCCAGTTACAAAAGATTAGCAGGGTGTTTTTTATCACTATATTTGTTAGTTCTAAAGTAAAAGATCTTAGCTCACTTTAAAAGCATATTTCTAATAATTTATTAGCATTTTGGAGCATATTTGCTTTTCACTTAAGTACAGCTCAATGTGGTTGGTTCCATAAGAAAAACAGCTTCATACCATCATACAATCAAAACATGAAAACAAAAAAATTCTGTAAAAAATGTCTGGAATTTGTTCTATGCTTGTGCTTCTTCCATAGATTTTTCTCTTGGTTGTTTCTTTTGAATACAAGGTTGTATAAGTAAAAATATTATTCCCACCATATATAGCAAGCCACATATGTAAAAAGAAAAATCGTATTTATGTGTGATGTCATAGATCCAACCTGCAAAATAAGGACAAAACATGCTTGTTACAAAGCTTGACAACAAGCTACATTGCATGGGAAAATACAAAAAATAGTGCACATTCCTGTCATGACATTTCAGTCAATCCACAGAAGTTTTGTGGAAAAAAGAGATGCTACAAATGTTCCTCTAGATGCTACAAATGGAAATGTATTAACAAAATCTCTTGTCCATTCACCAAAACCCAAACCCAGTGCAAAACCTATCCTCTCATTTAAGTGTCATGGGAGTCTTAAAATGGGGACGCTAGCTATGTGCCATCCTAAGCAGCGAAGCAACCTTCTCTCTGAAACTGTACATTTTTCAAACAAGTCATCACAGGTCTGACTTTAAAATAGGCATTTTGGAATCCCAAACCAATTAGTTCTTCCACCCTATTCTGTCTTTGTAAAATGCCCGATACTGCAGGCCAGTTCAAATGCTGTGCCCTGTGCAAGCAAACACATTCCCAAGAGCCTTCTCAAAGACTCACATACTGATAAAAGACTTTTCAAGAGATACAATCTCAGTACTGCAATGACTCCCGTTCCAGCTTTAATTCTTTTGCAAAAATATGTTAAAGTTACTTCAGAAAGGTTTGAGAACCCAAAATAGTAAAATTCCCTCATGTCATGCTGGTTGCATTGCCATGTAACCTCAAGATCAGAAGCTTTTTTTACTTCAACTAATTGCATCCTATTTGCTTCGATACTAATGACCAAATACAAAGACACATTCAGCACAGACTGACAGGTGCTGAAAGAATTATACGGTTGAGTAAAACACTGCTGCTTTTCAAAGGGCACTGAATGATCTTTCCTCTAAATCGTGTCGCCTCACTCGGTGGCGGGGAGAAGGTGAGAGCGTTCTCGCTTTTCAGGGTTGCTTGTGCTGCTAATACCTTCAGCTCAGCCTCGTGCCTGGCTGACCACGGCCATGACTCAAAAGGTTTCTTACCGCTTTCTTCTGATTTGCATCTCCGCAAAAGATAGCTGTAGTCTGGCTATAGTACTGACAATCAGTACCTATATCTCTTCTGTACTTCCCCGCCTCTTTCTATGAGAAAATTTATAATGAATGTTTGTTTAAACCTAAGTAACTATGGATAACATACATACACTTCTACCTTCTGCAGGGGATGGCGGTAAAGAGATTATGAGCAGTGCAGTCCCCAAAGTAGATTATTTCTGGCTGAAGGAAGGCAAAGCTAAGTTAGTTAAATCAACACATCCATCGGCAGCTTAGAGTGGTGACACCCAAACACACTTTATAGTTCTTAAGGGTTATACTATGGTACAAACACCTGCCCACCCTGAAAACTACTCATCATTTTTTCATCTAGATAGAGGCATGAGTATCTATAGTGCATATACTGCACAAAACACATAAAAATGAGTTAAACCTTTCTCATTGTAAAAAAAGTATGATAATATTTTCAGAAACATACCAATGAAAGCATTGACTGTAATAGATTTGGAGTTATTTGCAAGCATTGTAATTTGTCACATGCATATAGTGAGCTGGTACCCAGCAAATGTGCTCTGTGAATCTGTACAATGTAAAGCTGGATGTTATGGTCCATTCTGGAGCAGCTGTAATTTTGTTAACTACACGTGCTCATAACATAAGAAAGCTTAATAATATAACAAGTCACGCAGTTATACAAACATCTGTTGGTTAGCAATTTGAACTTTTTACCTGCAAAGGGTGGTCCAAACAATGCAGATATTCCGTTGGCACAAATGATGATGCCATAGGCATTTGCAAGGTGTTTAGTTCCAACTAAATCTTCAGTCACGACGGGCATTAGAGAAAAATAGCCGCTAGAAAATCCTATTAGAGCACAAACCACAGCCAGGCTAACGTATGTTTGCATTAGTGGCAAAGTAAGAATGCAGGTGACCAGGGTGAAGTTAGCCATGAGGAAGACATTCCACGTGCTGATGCATGGTAGATCAGAGATAATTCCAAGGATCACTTTACCAAAAATATGAACAATGGCTATAATGGATGTCAAAGGAAATATATTGTTCTGACTAGATAAGTTGTACTGCTTGACTATTTCTGGAAGATGAATAAAGGGAATGACAAAGCTGCTATAGGCAAACAAAGCCCAAATTATAAAGGCCACAAATACTCTATTGGTAAACAGTGATGCAGCTCCAAAGTAGCTGGAGTACCATATTGCAAAGCCCTTCCTGACTGTAACCATCAGCTGGCTTGCTGTCTTAAGAATGCGCAGTCCGTACATATTCCTTCCGCTTCTAGATTTACCTCCAATTTCTATGTGCTGAACACTGTCAAGCACTTCTTCATTTGTTGCCTCTTCTTTTTTTTCTGGTTCTTCACTGAGGACTCCGTTAGATTTTATAGTCTCTGCAGAATGGGACAGAGCTTTTGCCTGATTATCTTCACTATTATTTCTTACAACGTATTTTTCACTAATAACGTCTTTGGGAGAGAGTGGTCTCATAAGCGCCCCGCAGACACAAAGGTTCAGGGAGATGGCGCCCTGGATGAACATGGCATTCCTCCACCCAAATTCGGTGCAGAGGTACTTCAGTAAGGCAGTCATTAGGAAAGCTCCAAACCCTGTTCCTGTGGTACTGAGTCCTTGTGCAAGCGCTCTTCTCTTCTGAAAATACTGCCCTACCATGACCACCGCCGGCAGATAAACCATGCCACTTCCAACGCCTACGGAAATAAAAACGGAAATCAATCAGAACTTCTTGCTGACAAGATAAAAAGTAGTGAAAAACAAATCAGGTTTATTCCTAACTTTTGCGCGAACATAGGAGTAAACCCAAGAATAAATATTCAGTTCTCATGTTAGCTTTCATTTCTGCCTTATAGTATTTACCAAAATTTGCAATAGTCATTCCAGTGAGAATACAATGCTGCTATTTAACTGCTGGAAAAACTGAAACACATGGAAGATAAAACCTTTACGCCAGTTCAGCATGACACCGCTGGAAGGTCCCAAACATCCCACAATAAATCAGTGACAGTTAATGTAGGGACAAACATAAACAAGCCCTATTTTGAAATACCTGCACTTAATAGTACTTGCATCTGATTGTATCAGCAGCCAGAAATTGTTTAGTGGGCGCATCTTGTTGCTTTTGCCTAAGTTCACCAGCAATGAAGATCCAGACTGAGTTTTCGGCCTTGCTTTGTAACTGCGAGATACGTTTCAGGAGCCAGCACAGGGGGTTTAGCCGGGTGGTGGGACCTTGGGTGGCTTCCAGGTTTCTCTTGGGGCACTCCAGAGAGGGCCACACAGTAGCTGCACAGGCATATTCTTAAAAGGCAGAGTTCTAATTTTGTAGAAAATCCCTCATATTAGTTAAAAACCAGGGTATTAATTGTACCTATTTCAGGCAGAGAGTGTTGAGAGTTGTGCAAATGCATCATTAAAGTAACAGTTCCCAGTTTTTCTCACAGCAAATTCCTGACAGAGGGGATTTCGACTGGAAGAGGTGTATGCAGAAGATGCTTCCAAATTCACTGTGATCATAATTTAGAAGAGTGTTTTGGGCTTAAAAATTTTCCTAAATAGCTGATAATGTAGCTGCATGCATCTACAGCGTGATCTAGCTACAGCGAGATCAGAGAAAGAGCAGGGATTCCAGCAAAGCCTGAAAAAAGCACCTCAACATCATGGCAGTGTACCGTGGTCAGGGCTGACCTGCTTTGCTTCTTAGAAGTGTTTATCTCTTTGCTATGCAAATACATGATCAGGTTTTTGTTTTGCACAAGGTCTCCCTCCCAAATGCAGCCACAAACTACGGCAA